CCCGCCAGGCGTGGTACTTCAATGGCAACTACCCGTGGCTTGGCATGCTCTTCTGCGCGCCGATCATCGGCCTCTGGTACTGGTGCACCGACCAGTACATCGTCCAGCGCGCCCTCGGCGCCGAGAACGAGACCGAGGCCCGCCGCGGCAGCATCTTCGCGGCGCTGCTCAAGCTGTTGCCGGTGTTCATCTTCATCGTCCCCGGCATGATCTGCATGGGGCTGGTGATGAAGTCGCAGTCGGGCGAAATCGACAATCTGGACTTCGCGCCAATGATGACCGAGGACGGGTCCGAGATCGAAGACTCCGGCAAGGCGTTCCCGATGATGGTGCAGAACGTCTTGCCGACGGGCATCCGCGGACTGGTCGTTGCGGGTCTGCTGTCGGCGCTGATGAGCTCGCTGGCCGGCGTCTTCAATGCGTGCAGCACGCTGTTCACGATCGACCTCTACCAGAAGTTCGCGCCGCTGGCGTCGGAGAAGCGGCTGGTGCAGGTGGGCCGCATGGCCACGGTGGCGATGGTGCTCATCGGTATGGCGTGGATCCCTGTCATCCAGGGCTCGAAGGGCCTCTACGATTATCTACAGAGCGTGCAGGGTTACCTGGCGCCGCCGATCTTTGTCGTCTTCTTCCTCGGCATCGCCTGGAAGCGTCTCAACGCGGCGGGTTGCATGGCGGCGCTGCTGGTGGGTTTCGCGCTGGGGCTTTTCCGCATGGGCGTCGATACGCCGAGCAAGATCTATCCCGGCTTCGAGTACCCGGCGGGCTCGCTGCTTTGGATCGTGAACAAGATCTATTTCCAGTACTTTAGCCTGATCATCACGCTGGTGAGCGCCGCGGCGATGATCCTCGTCAGCTACCTGACATCGCCGCCCAACGAAGCCCAGATTAGCGGACTCACGTACGGCGCGATCACCGAAGAAGACAAGGCGCGGACGCGCGAAAGTTGGGGCACGATTGACGTGATCACTTCGTGCCTCGTGATGGCGCTGATCCTCGGCGCGTACATCTACTTCAGCGGTTGATCGAAAAGACTTGTAGGAGGCGTCTCCAGACGCC